TCAAAACACGACCCTCCAATTTTTGTCATTGCTTAGACAAAAAGAAAGCATTATCTTTGGGCTTACTGTTATGCTTAATTGGTCTTCTTTTTTGTGGTTTGTAACAGCATGTTGAGGACCACCACCTCTATTCCCTAAATTATCTGCACTGGGGTGACCCAAAAGTATGGTATGGAGTGTCTGGAAGTCGTGCTCAATCTTTGGAATGTGCAATGAGAAAGCATTTGCCGGATTTATTCGAGGAACAACCTGATTTACTCAATGAACTGGTAAGAAGAAAGATTCTATCCACAAAATTTTTTGTCAACCTATGCAATAATTTATTGTGATTGTTGTTGTTTTTTTTTTAATCACACACCAAGTGATGAAATAAATTTTTCACGTTGTTATATTTTTCTGGCTTCACTCTGATTTTCAATTTAACTTTTGGTAATAAATGGTTGTTAAAATTATCCAAGGCATTAGAATAAAGTAATGTGAAGTCCTTTCTAAGCTGTAGAAGAAGTGTCATAAGGAAATCTGCGAATATATTTGTTTGACCAACAGGTTGTAGCACACTAATTGGTATATAGGTGCAAGAGTCAAACCTATCGGTGAATATATAGGTACTGACCAACGGTTTTCTGGCACCACTAGACACACACACACACACACACAAATGTCTCGTTTACTACAGCCTATCATTTTTGTAAAGGTAGTGGACATTTAGTGTAGAGTTGCTTTTGTAAAGCACCCTAATGTTAAATTTAATTATTGTCCGAGTCATATCAGACTCTGAATTATTTTCTCATGGATTGATATATATGATCTCATTCCTTCCCTATTTTTGTTCTGTCTTTATCCTGGTGATATCATTTATCAGTTTCAATCACTTCCCTGCGCATGTCTGCCCACGTCACTGGGCCTCTGACATCCTTTGTTTCAACTTTGCTTTTAAATTTTTTGTGAGTATCTCAGACACTAAGATTACAGCTTTCATCCTTGGTCAGGTCACTCAGCTATCTCCTTCAGTTTTAAAGTCTGAAGGTGTACCTGTGTATCGAGCTGTCCAACATTCTGGGGAGTTTATTCTTACCTTTCCAAGGGCATACCATTCTGGATTTAATTGTGGCTTTAACTGTGCCGAGGCAGTGAACGTGGCCCCTGTCGATTGGTTAGAACATGGGCAAAATGCAGTTGAGCTATACAGTGAGCAGTGTCGCAAGACATCAATCTCACACGACAAATTGTTACTGGGATCAGCACAGGAAGCTGTACAGGCTCTTTGGGAGCTATCAGTTCTTGGAAAGAAAACTACAAGAAATTTGAGCTGGCAAAATGTTTGTGGCAAAGGTGGTGTCCTCACCAGAGCAGTTAAGGTAAATCTCTCTCTCCCTTTCTAAATATATATGTGTATGTATATAATATCTATCTGTTTATCTCTCTCTCTTTTACCTCTCCCTTTCTACCACATAGCCTAGAAATAGCTACATGAACTCTGGCATGCTTGTGCCCTTATGAGTAGATAAACTAAACCATATTTTGTATGACTATGACTGTTCACAGACACGAGTGCAAATGGAGGAGGAAAGACTAGATCGTCTTCCAATTTGTTTGAAGTTGCAAAAGATGGAAAGAGACTTTGATTTGAATGAGAGAGAATGTTTTTCTTGCTTCTATGACTTACACTTATCTGCTGCCAGCTGCAAATGCTCTCCTGATCGATTTTCATGTCTCAAACATGCAAAGCATTTTTGTTCATGTGACATCAGTCATAAATATGTCCTTCAACGCCACACTATCAGTGAATTAAATATGCTGGTTGAAGCATTGGAAGGGAGAGTAGAAGCCATGAAAGTATGGGCATCCAAGGACCCTGTAGTAGTTTCTATAGACGGTACTGGTTGGCGTACCACTAAGTTGGATCAAGAAAGTAGCATGTCTCATAAGAGAGTCAAGTCTTGTAATCCAAGGGAAACTTCATCTTGTTGTCCTGTTTCAGAAGAGAAGGTCAACATAAATGCATCTTGCAGTTCGTCTAGTCAAGTTTCTTCTGCGGTTGTCCAGTCAGGGTCACAGCATGGAGCTTTTAGTTTAAGTGCATCTCGCATCACTATGGATAGGCAAAATGACGATGAAACTCTGGCCATGAATGATGAGGAAAAGATGGGGAATGAGTGCTGTTTTGATTTAAATCTTAATTATATGTCTGATGAACGTGAAAGCAGGACGATGCACATATCTGATGACTTTGATAACAAGGCTGTCACAATTGAGGAGGATGCATCTACTTCCGTGTCTAATCAAGAGAAAGTTTGTAGTTCAGATGTAGCCAGAGACCCAGACATGATGAAAGTTGATAATGGCTACCCTGCCTGTTCAAGGGACATCAGGAATAGTTGTGCGAGTGATGGCAATAAGCTGTTCGGTGTTGAACTTTGCTTACCCCATCCTTCTTCAAACAAACAGTCAATAAACTTTACAAAAACTGAAACTGTCGAGGACTCGGGTGTAAACATATCCTTGACTGACCAAAGCTGTCAATTACAGAAGTTGAGTCCTTCGGTTGAGCCTATAGATTTTGGAGCTGTTGTGTCTGGAAAGTTGTGGTGCAGTAAGCAGGCCATGTATCCAAAAGGTATACTGGCTGTAGTGCAATGGTTTCTTGGATTCTAAATTTTTTCCTCTCCTTTCTTGTGTGGAATCTTTTAACTTTTTTTCTCTACATAATGGTTGCCTTACCTTTTGCAGGGTATAGAAGCCGAGTTAAATTCTATAGTGTGCTTGACCCAACAAAAGTTTGTAGCTATATTTCAGAAGTTCTCGCTGCTGGGCTTATTGGGCCTCTATTTAAGGTTTGTCTCTCTCAACCTCCAAAATATAATAAAATCAAAGATTAGGGGAATCTAAATTTCAGAGCTACAGCTGGTTATTATTTCTTTGAATATTTTTCATATCATTTCTATACGATTTGGGTCCAGTAAAACCATCTTTTCTTTTTAAAACTATTCTCTATTGCAAAACATGTTTAGCCATTTCTTCTTTGCAATTGCATTGAATTCCATAGTTTATTACTGTACTAAACTAGTGAGCATAAAATACAATTATACTTCTAAAGAAAGGCTCTATAAAATCATTCATTTTATTTAGCTTGTGCATTTTTCAATGGTTTCCTTTCATGAATTTCAGGTTACTTTGGAAGAATGCCCCGGTGAGGCTTTTGCTAATGTATCGGCAGAGAAGTGCTGGGATATGGTACTGCAGAGACTAAACCAAGAAATAAAGAGACGGAGTAGTCTAGGGGAAAGTGGACTGCCCCCTTTGCAGCCTAGCATTAATGGCCTTGAAATGTTTGGATTTCTCTCCCAACCCATTATTGAGGTACAGTAACTTCTATTATTTTCTCTTCTCTCCCTGTAGCAAGCAGAAAGCTATGCTGTTTATGTCATTATTTTTTGTGTGTGCCTAAGAAAATAAATTATACAACTTAAAAGTATTGTATGATCATGAGATAAGACAGTGAGAAATATGCATAGGAAAAACCTAAATGCTGAGCTTTTACTGGGCATACTAATTGCCTTGGCACAAAACTATATTTTCTGTTTTGGTGTGTGATTGATGATGAGCAAAAAAGAATTTGTGCTCCATTCTCAAAAATAAAAATTCAATCCAGTATCTAATTCGGATTTTATTCCTCCCAGGCTATTGAGGCCCTCGATCCCGACCATCAATGTGTGGAGTACTGGAATTACAGGCATATTGTCCCATTGGCGTTTGGCAATGTTAGTGAAATCAAGCAGCATTCGTTTGAATCAAGTAGAAGTCTAGGAGAAACAGATACGAAAATTTTTGGTATTACTTTGACAAGGCTGGACCGGGATAATCCATTGGTGGAAGGAGATCATCCAACCGAAGAGATGCAGTTAGTGTTGCGAAGACTATTAAAGAAGGCAGATTCCGAAGAGTTGAGGACATTACAGAGAGTATTGTGCAGTGAGTCACAAAGTTCAAAATGGAGAGTGGCATTCACATCATTGATTGAAGAGATCCAGAGAAATGTAGATAGTTAAGGAAAAGTAATGATAGGTCCCCTCATTCTCTCTCATTCAAGGTAGCTTCTTTTCCTATTTAGTCATTCTTTAGGCCCATTCTTTGCTAAAAAAAAATCCATAACAAGGAAAGAGAGGGATTCTGGGTCTTGAGTTGGGCACAAAATTTTGTAATATGGCTACTCGTGACTGAATCTAGAGTTTTGATTTGGTGAGGCCAATGCCTTCATTCGGTCACAGAAAGTCTTTCGGTTCGTCAGAAATTTTGATTGGTGATAGGATCTGGTCTTAATCAGCTAATTTTTCTGATCTTATTTCATTAATCATTGAAAAATAAGTGTATACAATGAAAGTGCTGTTTCATATCTTTATCTTTCAATTGAATGCTTGAATCAACTGATAACATGCAACTCTTTTTTTCTTCCTATGTTTTGTTTTGCAGCATATGCAATAACCCATTAAAAAAAAAACAAGGGTGATTGAAAAGGATTGCCAATAGAAGCATTAAAAAAGAACTACATTTCTCACCACATAACCCTCTGATTTTCTTTCTATTAAAAAAAAAACCCTTCTGATCTGAAAAAACAAAAATCCATAATCATAATCCTAATTTTCTCTGAAGAAAAGAGAGGGATGAAATCGCACTTGATTTAATTGGAGGAGGAAACAACAACAATGTATGTATCATTGAGGACATAGCTAAGTTGCATTCATGAGCAAAGAATACAATAAGAACACCATTGCATGGTGAGATCAGAATTTCAGCAAAATGCACAATTTTGGAACAAGAAATTGATGAACAGCAACACAAAACTCACACAATCAACAAACTGTAGTAGCCGCAAAAGAATCCTAAATCCCAATTAATCTTGATCAAGAATTCAAGATCATCCTCATCAAGATGATGTGCCAAATGCTCGAGAATCCCTTCGGATAATGAGAATTAGCAGAGACGATCTTCAACTACCAAGCCTAGTAGTTCCTCTGAATCTTGAACCCCAAAACCGCACAAGCAACCAAGAACCAACCAACCGGAAACTCAACACAATGGCACGGCGGCGCTGCATCAGACCTCCACCCGCCGCCCACGATTTCTCCCGCGGGGGAAAACACCCCTGGAGATGGCGGCGGTGGCGGAGGTAGCGGCTGCTGCTGCCCCTGCTGCGAATTGGGCTTGGGCAAAAGGTTAAGCCCATCACCGTAAACAGAGTACTCAAGAATGGCTCCGACGCCGTGGACAGCCACGTTGGCGCTGACGTAGAGGTCGGGCTGGGTGAGCGGAGCGCCGTCGAGGGAGAAGTTGGAGCGGGAGGCGTTGGTGATGAGAATGGACTTGCCAGGGAGCAGAGTGGGAAGGCGAGACTTGGGCTCGAAGAGCTGGAGCTCGGAGAAGATGAGGCGCTGAGGGACCACGTGGTAAGGGAACATGAAGGGGTCGGTGGTCGGCATGCGGTTCAAGGCGTCGTCTTGAGGGATGAAGAGGGTCGCGCTCAGAGGAAGGACCAGTGGGTTCACGCCGGTGATGATGTTGACCCAGTTCCCGAAGTCGCCGGCTCCGATTAGGGCGTCGATTATGTTGTTGAGTTGTTGGGGTGTTGAGGTTGGGGATGGCGGAGATGGAGGTCGAGGTGATGCTGGCGGCGGTGGCGGTGGTGATGATGATGGTGATGGCGATGGGGGTTGTGGAGGTGATGGTGGTGAGGGAGAGGCTGCAATGGTGGCTGTGAAGAGAGTGGTGAGAAAGATGAAGAGCATAGAAGAATGGTGGCTGGACGCCATGGGAGAAAAAGAGAGAAGCTTTGAGATCTTGGTAGAATGTTTTCTTCGTTTATTGTGTTTTGCACTTTGAGAATCTTTCTGGGTTTGATGGGTTTGTTATGTTGTTAGACTAGTGAAGAAAGTAACGAACTTTAGCGCCAAAATCCCTTTGGAGGAAGACAGAAAGATAATGCTTGTAATTAAATGATCAAGACGAGGGTATTTTGGGGATGTTAATTGATTGGGTTGGGCCACTTCAGTAATCAATCCCAAGCCCAGTAAACCAGATAATTGGGCCGAAGCCCCAAAACCTTCATCGTCTTCATATAAATACCCCCAAATTCGAGCGACTGAAACCCTAGGCCAAATGACGACCAGTTTGAAGAAGAATCGGAAGAAGAGAGGCCACGTCAGCGCCGGCCACGGCCGAATCGGGAAGCACAGGAAGCATCCCGGTGGTCGTGGAAATGCCGGAGGCATGCACCACCACCGGATCTTGTTCGACAAGTACCACCCGGGGTATTTTGGTAAAGTCGGCATGCGCTACTTCCACAAGCTCCGCAACAAGTTCTACTGCCCCATCGTCAACGTCGACGAGCTCTGGTCTTTGGTGCCGCAGGAGGCGAAGGACAAGGCGGCGGCGAACAAAGGAAACGACGTGCCGTTGATCGACGTGACGCAGTTTGGGTACTTTAAGGTGTTGGGGAAGGGGGCGTTGCCTCAGAACCAGCCTGTTGTGGTGAAGGCCAAGCTCATTTCTAAGACCGCTGAGAAGAAGATTAAGGAAGCTGGTGGCGCCGTTGTTCTCACCGCCTAGGATTTTAGGGTTTAGATTTGAGGGGTTTTTGCTTATTGTCTGAGAATTGGGGTTTTGGTAGATTTTTTCTTCGCCTTTGCTGAATACAAACATCATGTTATTTTGTGTCATTGAGCTTCTTGAATGCTAAAGGTTGAAACTTTTGTTGCAATGCGTTGCTTTATTATCAACATTAATATGAGAATTTGATTGCTTTCAGAACTTAATTGAAAAGTTTTTGGTTGTGCATTTTTGATTCATGGATACCCTACAAAGCATTTTTGCATGGTGTTTTTAAGGCCACAGTGTATTATTATATGATTCTATCATTATCAAAAACTAGAAGATTTCTGCCACCTTTTTGGATGCAGAGAAAACAATCCTAAGCAATTGCCTTTTTCATAATAATTTGAACTATATTTGGGACATAGGGATTCAATCTCTGGATCAATTGGAAGATCCTATAAGATTCTGGTTCTGTTTTTTTATCATCCAAAAGATTTTGGAGCATGAAATGCAAAGATCAAGAACTGAGATTACAAAGTGTTCCGAAGAGTGATGAATGTTGTTTCTACATGTTTACAAAACAAGCTCTATTTCATTGTATATTAATGTACCAAAATCAACACATTATAAGGTATATGGGGCAATCTATGTAAGGTCATCTTCGTCCAGTGGTTCTTGCTCGTCGGAAGCATGGGTCTTCAGTGCACTCACATCACCTGTGGGCAGTTTCCTGGCAAGCCTGATGACCTGCACCCATTTCAGTTTATGATATGGCAAAGTCAAACAGGGCAGAATTAAAAAATCCAAGATATTTATATTTCAGTCCAATATTTAGTGTTAATCAAGCAACAGGGTCAACTTGTCTCCTGAGTTTTTCAATATGTTATGTCATGCTAAATTCATGAGACAAAGCCAGATAATAATTTCAGTATCTTAAGATTTAAATCTATTTAAGCATTCAATAATCAGAAAAGCAAAATCATGCCCAAGCTCCATTGTATATAAAAGACAGATTTAACTGACAACATGCCTATATCTTTTAATCATACCTAGGTTAATACAAATTCAAATAAACAAAGGAGGCAAACAAAATATATATTACCATGTGATCAAGATTATTAACCGTGCTTGACTGAGAAAGCCGTTTAATTTCTTCAACGTCACCTTCTGTGTAAGCAGAAAAAAGTTTACTAGCAAAACGGCATTGATCACTTCTTGAAAAGGTGTCAACCCTATACAGAACCAAAAGCAAAAGGCCAATATTACGTGAGTTACAAACAGAGTTGCAGTAGCCCCCTCAAAATTTGGAAAATCAAAAGAATTCAATAGTTTTACTTACTGAGAGCAATCATTGTAGCATTTTTCTGCTTGTTTGATGTCATGAACATAGAGGTAAACAATTATTGCACTAAGATATGCCTGTATCAACAATGGTTGTAAAATTACTTCTCTTAAACATGAAACATAAAGTGATTAAAAAGAGTGAGTAATGCACAAAAGCAAGATGGACACCAAAAGATGTTTCCAAATGCAGATGCTAGTTAAGAACTTAAGATTAGTTGCACACAAACAAAAGCACAGATTCATTACAAGAGTAATCAAACAAACAAAGTTTTACATGTACTTGCATACTAAAATGAAAGAGTGACAACATTACTTTTCACAGTGGAATAGTATGGACTCGGGGAATATGTAAAAGGGCCACAGGATGAAAGTTTCTGTAAAACAAGGATACAAGAATACAAGATGACTAATTATAAGCTTTCATGAGAGGAGAAATGCTAATTACTACAGATGCAACCAAAACTAGGCCTCTTTATCTAATGCAGCCACAGGGAAATGAAAGGGGAAGGGATAGAAAATACATATTACTAGTTGTAAGTTCTTTGTTTGAAGATGCTCTTGCTCAAAATGAGAAAAAAATATCGAGTGAATTTTCATGCTTAGTACCTCATGTAGCACAGGCACTTCAACAAGGAAACCATTTCAATGTTGTCTTCATATCAAATACCAACACCTCTACACTAGTCCTGGATAATATATCTCATTAAATACATCCAACAAGAAATCCTTTCACACCTTGCATTGGCTATTGGTAGCATTGCACTTATCAGCAGCTAAGCCCCATCTCAACAGAAAAGCAGCAGCATCTGTGTACCTGTAAGAACCGCTCAAAGTGTATGATTAAACATATAGCGAAAAGCCACTCAAAGGCACACGATTTAGTATTTACTGGGAAAAAAAAAGACCATTTTCAAACCGCAAATCACTACTCTTTTCTAATAGATTTTAAACCTCGAACCAGAGTCTTCCAAAACCTTAGCCTCAATTAAGCCATAAGGAATAACAGTTAATTGCCTGATTATAAATGCTGTCAGAAAACAGCTACAACTGGATTCTACACAATCGGATCTGTTTCCTAAATAATGTATTTCATCCTCTCAATCCACTAAAATGATAATAATCATAATTTGCATCATCCTCCCAATAACTAAAATGACAAATTGCCATAATTTAAATAACAAATGGGATGTATTTTGGGATCTTACTTCTCAAGTTTTATATAAACACTAGTGGCAGCACGATATAGATCAAAGGCCATTTGATCCTTGTCATCATCTTCAAGAAGAACACAAGCATCAGTGTAAAGTTGAATAGCTTCATCAGGAACAGAATCTTCCAGAGCTCTGTAATAAGGTTATCATTTCAAATAGTTAGCATTTCAAATATTCTCTAAAGCTGTAATCCCACCTCAAGCATATACAGACTAAAAGAGCAACTAAAAAAAACAACATATGGAAAAGAGGAAAAGAAAAGAAGAGAAACAGTTTCATTTCACACTGAAAACTCTCAACCAATAAAAACTTTTACTAGCGAAGAAAAGTTCAGGTAACGTCCTCTACATGTGTGTGTAGTTTCATAAAACAAAATTGTAAACTCTTTTATGAGAAAAATAAGATAACAAAGCTAATTATTAAACTGTTAACCATAAGAATACCTAAAGAAGTCAAGAGCCATGCATGTGGATGACCAATTCAATTAATTGCAGGTAAATTAATACTTTTGAATATTTCATATGAAGATTAAAAACCATCATTTAGATTGAGCCGTTGAAAATAATGGGATGATGGTTATGGGTAGAATTTTATGAAATTCTTCACATGTAACACTTTATATTGGTTACTGCAAATATGGGTGAATTTATTAACCCGAACAGGAAAGTATTTTTCATGGGAGCTCTGGGAACTGACAAGAATTTTGATCATGTGAATGTCAAGAGAATTTCTCCAAACATTGCAACTTTTAAGAAGAAAAAAAGAAGATTTGTAGCTGCAAAAAGCAAGAGTGAACCATGTGCTTACCGGGCCCCTTTCGCAAGAGCATCTGATGCAGGTTGTGATCTCCCACACACAACGTACAATTCAGATGCCCTTCTATAAAAATCAGCAACTTCATTCCATTTGCCCAACTCCTTTGCTAAAGCAGCAGCTGACTCCATATGCTTTGCAGCATCCCAGGGTCTGAGTTGGTTGTAAAGGATATAGCAAGAGTGCAGTTATTGAGATCATCAGACAAAATTAGACAACACCCGAAGGACAGAACATACTAATAAAAGAGAATGAGGATACGAAGAGATCAATTCTTGTCCTTTTGATGCTTTTTCCAATGCTTCCTTCGCTTTCTCATAATCCTTGGCAATCCTAAACCCATTAGCTACAACAAAACCAGATTTTAAGCTGAAATCCGCATCAACCATTGTAATTAAGGCTTACAGTTGCACAGAACATACATACCAGCTTGTTCATACAGAAGGGTAGCGCTTTTCCAATCTGCACTCCACCTTGTAAGACTGAGCCTCGTTCTAAGATAACAGAAATTAAAGGCATTCAGTAATTCAGAAGAGGAAAGTAATCAAATTTACTTTTCAAAAAGAAAAGACAAAGCTTGACTTCTTCTTCTTCTCTTCCCCATGAACAAACAAACAAAGCTTAAGCAATATCAAAATGCCGGCTACAGAATTCCAGAATTTATTCATCACTCAATTCTTAGTATGCTCTTCTAGAGTTAGTATACCAACTTCATATGCAGATTACTGAAAGATTCAAAATTTATACAACTTCATCCAATTTCACACCGACCCAGAAAACAAAAATTGAAGTAAATGAATGCTCTTTTTCATTCTACCAATCAATTACTACCATAACTAATCGAAATCACTGGAAAATGTTTCTATGTGTTAAGAATTAACAGACAAACTTTGGGTCTTCTAAAGTGAATCAAATGCATAGACCTTCAGAATAATACCATATATGTTTATAAATAAATGATTGGATGTGAAAAGAGATACTGACAGTTTATCGGCTTTGGCCATCAACTTGTTTGGATCGGAACCCGCCATGGCTGAACTTTGGGTGTAAGCTTTCTTCTCTTCTAGTTTTACAGCGCAGTTTGATTGCCCTTTTGGGCTGTTTTAGGCCTTCGTTTCCTTTAAGCTCGCTGCAATAGCCAATCTGCCTCCGTTTATATTTTTACTTTACTTTTTTACTTTTTTTTATTTTATCTTTTTACCTTTTCAAGCTTAAAAAACATGCAAAGAAACTTTTTTTATTTTTAAATATTTAAATTTAAAGAAAGATCCTATTAAAAAAAAATTATGAATAAGAATTTGTGAGTATTTTGTAATGTATAGGATAGAGATTAATTATTTGAAATGTATTTTGCCTTTTATCAACGATTCTTTTTTTAGTAGAGCTTATCTAACTTCAAATTCACCCCTAATTTAAACTGCAAACATGTTGAGATTTTTAGGCTGCATGCTATTGTCTTCAATTTTTGTTTATGATATTGGGTTATTTATGTTTTCAAACAATTAGCTTTTAGTGGGTTTTTAGGACATTCATCATGATCAATATGACAATGCCTACGCTACTCCTGCTTTGCAACTGATATGGTTGATGTTTTTTTTCTTCTAATTTGCTTTATTATTAAAAGGCTCATAGTCTAGTAAGGTTATAAACTTCAAAGTGAAGCACTTTTTTTGCTTGTTGAAAGGTTCCAAATTTGGAACCAACTCGTCGCTACTTGGTTGAAGAACTCAAGTTTGATTTACATGAATTGTGACAGTGTAGCTTTGTTGTTGGTTCATTACCAGCTGTAAAAGTATGTTTTAAAACCACAATTGACTCCGCAATCTACGTAGCCCCCTCCAGTAAAACTCAATGTAAGAGTGCCAGTTCCTATTAATTCTGGTGTGAAAGTCAAAAACAAAACTCTGTGCATGACTCAACTTTCAAGTATTAGGTTGAAGGTAGAAGTAGCATGAAAGCCATGAACACACCAAACTACAACTCACTCTCTCTGTTCTGCCCTTATATTAAAAGCCCCAGCCTCCAATTACCATCATTCCACCATCGGTCACATTTTTCTCCGTTGATCTTAATATGGCCTTCTCTAATCTCACTACTTTCTTGTACTTGCTCTTCCTTGGTCCACTACTTTTCAGCTTTCATTTATGCTTGGCGTCTCGCCTCATGATGGATCTAAAGAAGCCATCAACGACCATGCAATTGGTATCTGACCCTTCATCACCCTTCAGCAACCCAATGAAGTCAACATTGCCATTTTTTCAAGATCTTCCAAACCCAGTTGAAAACATGAACACATTGCTCCCATTTCCTGGCTTTCCAACCATTCCCAAGATTCCTCCAATACCCAAATTCCCATTTATCCCAACCATGCCTTCAGTTAATCCTTTTCTTCCTCAACCACCAGTTCCTAAGAATTCAGAGTCTGTGATTTCAAGAAATGAGGCCAAAGCCTCCCCATGAAGTGGCCTTTTGTTAGCTTAGCTCATGCTGTTGTCTCAAATAGCTAGCAGTCTGCTTTTATTGATGATGTTTAGCTTTCATCATCTTGCTGGTAGCCATTGTAACAATAACAAATACAGTCATGATCTTTTTAGCTGTTTTCATTCAGTCATTGTTCCTCAACCACTCATATGAATTACTACAAGTTGACATCAGAAAAAGTTATCTTTTAATCTTTTTAGCTGTTTTCGTTCAGTCATTGTTCCTCAACCACTCATACGAATTACTACAAGTTGACATAAGAAAAAGTTATCTTTTAACTACTTGGCTACAACTGATCTGAAAGGTATAATTGTGTACTTGGAAGGAATAATGCAAAAGTTGCAAGGCTAATTGGATGGGGGAAATACTTTTCAATATTAATTCATTGCAAATTTAACATAGTCAAATAGCAGCACTCTAGCTAGCCACAACTCAAGTGCAAATATGAAATGGTTGAATTGAAATTCTAGTTTGGACAAAAGTAACATTGGATTTAACTTTACTAGCAAATTATCGTCATATTAAGTTCCCTTAACAAGGAAATACATACTGAACTTTTAACATACTTATTGCTGAAACTTCCAAAGTACATAATAAAGCGTCTATAGTTTAACTTAGAAACTTATGCAGGAGGAGGTGAAAGGAAAGGGATATTGGGAATGTTGATAGGAGGGACTGGAATGTTAGGAAGTGGTGGGACTGAAGGTATTTTAGGAATTCCAAATGGAGGTGCAAATGGTAACTGTGGAATTGGAACACCAGGAATTTTGGGTGTAAATGGTATCTGTGGAATTGGAACACCAGGAGTTTGAGGCGCAAATGATATCTGTGGAATTGGAACGCCAGGAATATTAGGAAAAGGTGACAAAGTCTTCATCTGACCAAACTCCATTTTGGCCTTGCTTAACTGCTCCATCATCTCCCCTTCATTCAGATAATTTCCACTTTCTGTGGCTCTTCCAGTTTGCTCTTGAGCCTGTTTTGATATCCCTGCAGGGTGTTGGCGTGCCTCAACAAAAAGCACCCCAAGATTGGCTGCCATTATCAACACACTCAACAACATGCAAAACTGAACCAAACCCATTTTGAAAGTCACCTTTGGAGAAGAAATGAAGTTTGGTAAATGACAAACAGATTGATAGATGGGTTTTGAAGTTCAAAGCTTTAGTATTTATAAGCGCCAGAACCATTAGAAATTGCGAAATGAGTGCTATAACTCTGCCTAATCTCGTATGACCACTTATTGATAATTAAATGTGTGACATGACTTTACATCTCTCAATACACAAACGAACCAATTGAAAATGAACACATTTCTGCTCTGGAAAAAGAAAGAAAGCCATTATGGTGTTTGACTACGTAGATCCCGCGTGCCAAGAAGACAATGGTTTTCTTCATGTATGCTTCATTGCATGTGTCTAGAGTAGCATGCCAAAAAGGCTATGGTATTTGAGCAAAGCCATTAATCTTACCAGAGTTATTAGCTTTTGTTATATTCGAAACATTTCATTTATGTCACGATATGTCCAAGAATCCACATCCGTCTTCCGCATAGGTCCAACAAAAAGAATTGAGAGGAAATTTACCTTCGTTATTAAGTTTAACTGATATGCTGCATATTTTTCACTCATACAAAATCATGAGAGAGAGAGAGAGAGAGAGAGAGAGAGAGAGAGAGAGAGAGAGAGAGAGAGATCTTTAATGCTTCTGTAAAATTACCACTGTATCTACACAAAAGATGCTACAGGACTTAACATGACCAAACATTTACAATACAATGAATGAAAAAATTGGTTAATCACATCTTGCAAGCAAAAAACGAAAACCAACCTAAGATAAATAAAGCAAACCAGCCTCAAGTTTTAGGTTTTAGTAGTATTATATGTGATTTTGACAATGACTGACAAAGGAATGTTGACAACATGACCTTGATTTCCAAATAGTCCAATCCTTCCATAGCTAGCAGTGGTGCTGTTTGCCGTAGAATTGAAGAATACACTTAAGACCTGTTTCTCCCCACTGGCAATGTAAAAATGAGCTGGAGACACCTTTACTGAAACTCCAAAAGGAGCACTCCAGCCAACACTATAAGTTTCATTTCCACCAACGTTCGTCACTGATCTGAGCACCGTTCTAGACTGGTTCAGTTTTGCTATTGTTATTGATGGCAAGTTCAGGTCAGCACCGGCAATGGTAGAATTATAAACCCAACAGCTCTCACCAGTGTAATTCAAAACCACAGGAGCTGATCCATTGATGCCACAAAGAAATGACATATAATTGTCATAACCTGCAAGAAGACAGCATGGTTTTCAGTCAAAATATACTATCAAACACAAAAATAATCACTTAAAATAAGAAACAGCTAGGAGTCTTTGTTTATGTTAACAAATAGAAAACAGAAAATATGCGCATATACATATATAGAGTCCCCTTCAATTGAGGTTAATAGAAATTACACCTAGCAGTCTTTGTTTTAATCATAATCACACTAACAGAGAAGGCATCACAATTCCATATTTGATAAGATGATTGTTACAATCAGTAAAAGATTTCCACAAAAATAAGCGAAGTTCCAAGCATATGGGTCAGGTAGAGTAACTTACTGGAATAAAAAATCAATCCCGGATTCAGTGCCGCTGTAGCATTCACAAAACCACTGCCCATGTCAAAGGGTGTTGCTGGAGATTGGTTTTGATCTGGAAACGCATAAGCACGTTGAGCCATTATGGGCCCACCATTCTTGTCATATAGAGAAGCTGTTGTGGAAAGTGCAGATGCAATGGCTGAAGGACTGAAATTGGGGAACTTCTGCCTAACCAGTGCAGCAAGCCCAGCAATATGAGGAGCAGCCATGCTTGTCCCAGACATCATTGCAAAGTTCTCACCTGAAAGATAAATACGACATAGCAGTTATATAATAATGCATGAAGAGGAAACAAAACTGTCATTTATGAACAAAAATACCAAAAAGTTATACTTGGAACTAAATCACTATTACCAAGTATGTGTATTTCTACCTTGAAATTCAACTGAGTCTGCGCCAACCGAACTCCAAGCAGCCCATATAGAATTTCCAGGAGCTACCAAATTGGGTTTCATTATTTCTGCATCATCAAGAAAATTGTCTTCCGGATCTGGTCCTCGAGCAGAGTAATACATGATCTTTGGTGCAGAACTACTGTAGTTTGCTTTGAAACCTCCACAAATGGTTGCAAGTGCCCCAAATTTGACAATTCTCTTTGTCATGATATCTCTCTCCAAGGAATAATTGTAGTATTTGAGTAAAACCTGCCAAATATATCATAAAGCTTTATTAACTGCTGAGAAAGGGAGGGAGGGATAAGCCCTAATATGTGTCAGGGCATCAACTTCCCCTTAAACGATTAAACACTTTCAAACGATTAAAAGTTTTGAATGGTTGGGTAATGCTCTCTTGCCATACTAAATCCAGACCACACATTCAGGGAATAATCAACCTAATCAAAGTTCATACTCACAGTCTAGCAACACGTATGTATCTATATAGGAATACGTTCAGGCAATAATCAACCCAACACTTATGTATCTATATAGGTATATATGTATATATCAAATCGTCATCATATGGGATGATATTTATAATTTTGAAGAAGAAAACAATATACAACAAATTAATGAATGTGCATCCATAAACAGAAATTTGCATACCTTGGAATCCTCTGGGGATGGGATTATGATGCCAGGTATTTTCATTGGAGTTGGGTTAAGCTGAAAACCAATTACAAAAGCATCCATGTAGAAGACGACACCAACTGCACTTAGGTTTTTGGCTGTTTCCAGGGCGTGATTGACTGTGGAGATCCCAAGCACAAACCGGATTGAGTAGCTACAGATCAAGAGGTTCCCCTGGATCAAATCCTGATTGAACTTGCTTGAGTCTTGGCATTCACCCACATACATATCATCTGCCACTGTTGTGCCGTTGTTCAAAGCATGTACGGCAGAAATCAGCGTGTACATTGTATCATTCTCTGTTCCCGCTGTAGCAGAAACAGAAGTAATCAGAATTACTACCTAATCTAATTGGGTGCGTTCATGGTTCACATATAAGTGCAACGGCATGCACCAAGATATTGGCCATAGAAGATTGTCTACAAGGTAACAGATTTAGTAATGTCATACTTTGGAAGTGAACCAGCATGTCCATAAAAAATCAACTCTATCTAAAAGATCAGGAGTACAGTCATCCCATACAAGTTGCAATGACATACACCGAGATGCTAACCACGAAAAATGGATATGTAAGGATCAGACCAATCGGTGACATTTCTTGTGAGAAAGGAACCAGCATGTTCTTGAAAACTCAAGCCTACCTCAAAATTCATCTAGACATTCAATAGACATAACAACCAACGGAAAAAGGAACTCTCACATTAGAAAATCAGGAAAGAGGAAACAGTCAAGGTTAGGCAATGTGGAATTCTGTGAACATAGTCTCTTTTGACAATTCTCTAGCAAAAGTTATTGGACTGGAGTCATTGGATCTTTAATAATGATACGAAGACCCACATAACTTTCAGATCCAAATGTATCACCAGAAAAGATTCAATTGTAGATAAGGCAGCTTATAAACTATAATGGCCCTTGTTTCACTAAGAGTGATGATCCAGTTCGTATCACTTCAAAAGTTAATTCTGAGTCCAAAGTGTAAAGAGTCAGGACAGCAATTGTTGTTAAGACGATGCTGTATGAAAAATTTAAAGAGAAGTAGAGCAATCAATTCAGGAGACAAACTTACGTGCAAGTCCAACTCCTGGAATGGTGACATTGTTGCCAAGGATTATGGAGTTGCTGTAGACTCTGTCATGGGAGGCAGAGCCAACAGTGAATATCCATGGACTGAAGGAAGACATGCTCTTTGGTGATGGTCCGGTATTGCCCGCTGCTTGGACAACAAATATACCAGCCTTTACAGCTGATAGTAATGCCATGTCTATGGGATTGAAAAATGTTGCAACGCCGGGAGGACGCCTGTTGGGAGTGATTGATAAGCTTATTATGTCAACCCCATCCTGAGCAGCCTGGGAATGCATAATAAATCACCAAAATTAAATAAAGTGGCAAAGAATCTATATGGAACAAAAGGTATGGAAAAAACAGATTTTCTTATTGGTTTGAAACCCCAATAGAGACTCAGCTGTTTGGCAGAATATAGTTTGCAGAAATAGAACAAAAGGCATGTACCTGGTCTATGGCAGCAACAACATCAGCAGCAAAGCCTCCAAAGCCTTTGTACAGTGCCTTGTAAACAGCGATGCTGGAATAGATAGAGATGTAGTTAAAACATAAATACTCCCAATTGTTTATGTACTGGAGAAAGGTGGATTCAAAGAGGAAAGGGTTGTCACAGGTTCAAGGACTGAGTGAATTACTGATTAAAAGAATTTCAGACTTAGGTTAATTTTGTTTCTTACAAGTTGAAAGAAACTTATGTTAGGGAATTGCTCCTTTTTTATGCATCACATTCTACCAGAAACAACAAACACCACATCAATAGACAAAGCGACACTCAGATCTAGATTAATTACTGTGAACGAGGAGCCATCCCACTTGCATTTCCAAAATGATGCCCAGCAACAACCACTGGAATTCCATGGTTTCCTGCAGCAATGGAAGCAGTGTGCCTGTAAATTAAAATGAGATCCATCAAACGGTGTTAACAACATAAAGCAGACATAACTACATTGTCTTTCATAGCATTTTAAAAGGTACTAGACTGTCTTTCAAGTATCATAAAAGCAGCTAAACTAGCTTCTCTCAGATTGTAACTTGAGAGTCATATGAACATATCAAGTTTCCATCAATTTATTGGGTTATCACTTTTATTAAAATACTTTTTATTTTGCACGTTGAAGTAAATTGCATAATTTAAGTTCATTTGTGAAAGATGATTAACAATTAAGATATATTTCATTAAAATGAAAACATAGAAATCTATAACAGTTCCACAGAGACACATGATGCCTCTAACATGAATATCAGCGTCAAGCATGCAGGACCTCAAATAAAAGAAAAAGAAAAAGAAAAAAATATCATATGTCTCAGTGCTCTAATAATATCAGTTCTCTACCTGGCCAGGTAGAAAACAGAGATGGGCAAACTTGAGATGAGAAGGTCCTTAGGCGAATCTCAAGGTCAAAAATCCCCATATAAGACAGATTTTCATATTTAGTGTTTTTCATGTGTCTTTCTATAAAAGCACTAATGCTGCAAACTTGAAATTGAGATAAAATAACACAGATACAAAAGGCTTAGGGTACTTTCTCTCAGGGAAAGCAAGACAACTCACGTGCCATGGCCATCACCATCAAATGGAGAAGCAAAGTCCTGTGATGAATTGAAAACACCTCTGGTTATAGCAGATGCTGCAAAATGGCGGGCTCCAATAAGCTTCCTATTGCATGAACCAGATGGGAAATCCCGGGTAACCTCACAGATGCCAGAAAAATGTGCTGGAACTGGATATGGATGTTCAGATGTATTGTCAGCAAAACTACTGTGAGTTGGATCAATGCCAGTATCAATAAACCCAATGACCATCCCTTCTCCAGCTGATTCATATCCACCTCCTTGGACCCACGCTCCTTGTGGCAAACCCAAAAACTGAGGAGTATGGGTGGTTGCAGTTCTAACAGAAAAGTCCAAAACCACATTTGCTACTTCTCTCCTCCTGGAAAGCTTATCAACCTCCAAAATTCAGCAATATCACCAAATTAGGAACTTATGATCAATTACACCTTTTCACATAGGCATAGGAAGATACTACAACACGCGGAAATGCCATGTTCCAAATTACTCAGAAATACAAGCAAATGTAAACATTCAAAAGTAATAATTGGATTATCACAATTCTATATAGCACCATAATTGTGGAATTTGACATAATAATGATTACTATATAATACCAGAATTTCACTGATGTTATACCTGATCTGGGGTAACAAGCACAGCAAATCCGTTAATCAAGTAATGGTAGCTGTACAGCTTCAGATATTTCTCCCCTCTCAACACCCTCCTCAATAGCGAATCATGAACTCGAGCAATATAAGAGCTATACCTCTTATCCGTTCTTGAAATATTTCTAAATCTAAAAAGAAAACATTAAAATCAATTAAGTTTAAGGTCCTAATAATGCAATGAGGAATGATTAAGGGAGGGGAAAGAAAAAGAAAACCAATCAACATCATGAATAAATAACTTTTAGCACGCTGGAGACTTTACCACCCATACCTGAAGAGTTTACCCAATTGTTGGGTATGATGAAGGCGGAAAAGGGACAATATGATAACCACAAGTTTCCACATGTTCATAAGAGACAAATTGTACAGACAGTGTATGAAAAATGGGCAACAGGGGACCCCATGAGCGAGAGATCCATGCAAGGAGTGTAAAAGGAAATTACCACTAATATTTACTCTAGAATTCAAGTTATTCTATGGTAAAGGGAAAGTAAGACCCAAACTATCCCACAATGCAAGTATCCAAATTGATTTCTCCACATGAGGAAACGAAACTTCAATACTACTGCTCGGATCATAATTGAAAACCAGCTTCAAGGGATCAAATAAAACATAGAAAATTAAAAGCAAAGTAATTTCAGAGAGTAAGAAAATCTTTGAAAATGAAGAGTAAAATAGTACCTGTGTTTGTGAATGTTCAACCTCTCAGAAGAGCCGCCATGTCTGATACCATTACTGTTCATTCTCAACTCAGCTTCGTAATGAGCAGCAGGAACTTCTCTAAGAGTGACAATATACACAGCCGTGAAGTTATCAGAATCATCATCTTGACAGAACGAGCTCATAAACATCCCCAAAAAAAGTAACACCATTAAGTGCACCCCATAAATTCTGCCCATTTTAGACCTAAAGCACAAGAAGATCAAAATCCCAAGAAAGAACACTCCCCAGATGAACAAAAAGACCTTTGGGCACAAGTCTTTAACAACCCATGTCCTCCATTTTCCAAAGCAAACTTCTTTCTTGGAACAATTTGCAGAATGTGGAGTGCAGCTGAGTGAAGAACCACAAAACCAGAGAACCTTTTCTGGATGTGATAATTGGTGTGAATGGAAACTGCACAATACACATGAAGCCTCCCCAGATAAGAAGTGATCTGACCGAGAAAGCAGAGCTCTTTTCGGTGAAAAAAGGAACCCTTTTGTATACTTTTGTTTGTGCGTACACAAGAAACTGGAGTACACTAAAGACGAGAGAGAGAGAGAGGGAGAGAGAGTAGTAGTAGCTGGAGCATAGAGAATCTATGGACACTTTATTGGATGCTGTGTATTTAAACGTATATTTATGCGAAGGGTCTTCCACGGCCACGGCATTCGAACGTTTTATTTTGTTTGTATTATATCATCCACTGTTGGACTTGGATGGTTTTCTTAACACATTATATTTCATGTATCATTTTCCAGCCAAATCCAAAAATCCGTCTGCAACCCAACTTCAAATCATCCCTTTTTTGTTTTCTTATTTGCACACATAGATAATCATTTCTTAACATTTATACAACAACATGATTTTTGCTATTGTTATTGATTGGCATGTAATACATGTATTTGTAGGAAACTGCAAATACCAGTTTCCAGTTATCTGCTTGTAAAAATATGTATATATCTCCACATACTTTTCGATTTATCTAATTGGAAATGATGGTAGCTTGATGGTGTTTTGACGGGGCAGGTCAACATTAATCTTTTGTCTTGGCCCTTTTTCTCTGCAGTTGTCTACTTGCTCCAACGTTCTAATTTTTTAAGACCACCCGTGACACTGCACAAGTAGAGAGAGAAGATGCGAGGAGAGAGAGGGTTTAAGTTTTGGACCTTCTGGTCTGATGGGTGGGGGTGTTGTGGGACGGTGGTGTATTGAGTACACTATATATGAGTGCGCATGTGAAAAAGGCCAGATTTTGAGTGCAGGTTCTATTTCTATTGGATTCTAATACCGTTTCTGCAATTGGGTGATCTCATGATTTTCCTAAGCTTTTCTGGTCAATATATTTCTATGTGCCTTCCTCATATGGTAGGCCATACACATGATGCATCCATTTTCCGGTGTACACTTTTAAGAACATGATTTTATTTAATAGTCGTTGGGAGTTCTTGGTATGCTCTGCTGTGCCAAAAGAACCTGATTCTTCAATCATTAGGATCACTCTTTTTGAGTCCAATTGATGGCCTTCTCCATGTGACAATACCAAAAGGAAAAGGGGAAGAAGAAAAAAAAAAAAAAAACCTGTTTACCACCGTTGGTCCTTGACTGATTCCATCTATTTGGAAGAAAAAGGTGATGATAATGTTTGAGCGCAAAGACTGGTGCCCATCTCTAAGCTTGGTCTGTCTTTTTCATTCTATGTATACACATTCAGTGAAAAGTTGAGCAGAAACACTTGAGATTTGCTTTGATGCAATTCAATTGGGTTTACAGATAGGTACATTACAACATTTTGATGAATGTGCCTTTAATTTGAATTTTGTTATGAACGTTGAGGTGTTTAACTGTACATTTTCTCTTTTGCATGTTATATCAATGTTATAGCCCAAAAGGACGAGTAAATCTCTCATTCATTTAGCTGAACCATGAACTTGTAATTAAATAAGACACATAATTAGTTGTATGAATGAAGTCTAATCTAACCAAGTGGGTGCGGATTTTGGTCTATGTTCAGTTGATTGAAACATAGTTTCAGTTCTCGTAATTTAGTGAAAGTCACTTTAGTAGTAGAGCATTTGTCTCATATTTTGGTAGAGCTCGATGTTGTCTTATTCCTTTCCGGACAAAAATTTAAAAGAAAAGCACTTAACTGCACACTTAAGAGCAGCTACCCCTGCACTCTTGTGTTCGAATCCCATCCTCTCTCTCCCAATATCACTTGTATCAAAAACTGAAAAAGAGAGAAAATAGACATGGGCCTAGGCTTGGCCATTGACTAACAGTTGATCTTGGACTCTTGGTCAGGCCCAAAGGCTTGGTGGAAATCAGCTTGGGTTTTGATTCATGAGGGTGTCCCCATATTCATTTGCCCAAAGCCCACCAATCCCTTATGGGCTGCGGTCCCATAGATCCAGTGGTGCTGATTGCTGAAGATGAAGTGGCGGTTTGAGGTTGAAGGTGACATATCCCAACTGCTTCAGAGTTTTAGAGCACAAATTGAGAGTTGGTTTATCCGTTATCCGTTATAGTGAGACTGTCAGAGGAAGAGTGAGGATGGCACTGGCATCCATAGCCATAGCATCATCAAATCCCCTGTACTCTTCTCTAACTTTACCAACTTCCAGAGGAAGAGGAGGAGGCGGCAGCACAAGGAGAAGAAGGACCCATTGTCTAAAGATTACTGGGTCCAGTCTCGCTGGTGGCTCCGCTCTTTTCCAAGCAGCGCACCACACTGTGTGTGTTTATAATTTGATGTTTTTTTTATTATGTTTATTTTCCTTGCATGTTTACAGATATTATGAGCGTAAGTGTTGATGCGTTCTGCACTTTCTCATCATTTGCACATTGCAATATGTGAAGGACTTCAGCTTAAAAAATCTGTTTTGATTGGTTTTCATCATGATTCTTTCTTCTTATTCTTACCTTTTTTAGTATTCTAGAGCATAACATAGAGAAGTCAGTTTCTTTTACTTAATTTTCTCAACAACTTGATGGAGGGCAAATTGATGTTAGAAACAAATTTCTTGAAATTAGTAAAAGGAGAAAGAGCCATATAAGATGAAAATGGAAGAAACAAAGGTGAATTATTAAATGAGTGAGTGTGTGAGCTATTATATTCACTTTCTTTGCTAAAATGGTGAATAATTAAAGGCAATTGTAGCATATATGTTGATTTTAGGGTATGTCTCTTCTAGGATTTCGTTGCTCTGTATTTCATCATATGTGCATTTGAGTGGAAAAAGGAGGCATCTTTCGTCAGTTTGGGTCACTAAGGTTAAGTATGGTTTGGTAGTTTAGTAAGAAAGAAACATGAAAATCAAAATTGAAGGGAATATGAAAGGCTGACATAGCAGTATAAAGGTACATAAAAAATTTGACAATAATAATAATGGTATATTACTTTCTTGCTTTTATAAGTTGTATGATTGTTATATGTAGGAACTAATTCAAGGAATATTCATACTTGACTTTCTAGGTGGATACATACATTAAAAGTGGTATGGTTATTGGGTTGGGGTCTGGCCAAGCTTCTGATATGGCCATACAGTATATAGGTCTGCAACTTGGTGCAGGTGCTCTAAAAGATATAGTGGGGATACCAATGTAAGTAACCTGATTAAGAATTCATAGTTCTTTTAAAATAAAAATAAAAATGCTTCTGATTTCTTGGCTCCTTCCAAAGTTCTTAAGATCCCTAAAGTAAGTATGGAAAGAAGTGATGTCTTCGAATCATGTAACTGAATCTTTCTCCTCAGCTCCATCAACTGGTGAAACTGAGGCAAATTGGAAAAACTTGTGTTTGTAGAGTCGGGCTTCATGTCCAATGAAGGGTTGTGAGCCAAAGCATTACACTTTCTTTTCCTTTCCTCTTTGTTTTTTCATAAAGGAATTTACTTTGGATTTATGCAGGTCCATAGCATGTGCAAGTGAGGCGGCAAAGGCAGGAATTCCATTGGGTCACTATGAGTATTGTTCTCAAGTGTGCACACATTCTAAACATAAGAAAGTTTCATTTTCATTTGGGGTTTTCGAGTATTATATGTTTGGAGAAAGCACACCACTAATTGATGTCCATGCATTTGGTTTTGACTGGAATCAAAGAATTCTGATATATATCAGGATATGAGAACTAAAAAGATATGTCAGCTAGTTGTAAAGATATTCTTAGACACTTTCTTGACAATGCAAAATGCATCACTCTCAATGTGATCACGGAAGATTCAAAAATTTAACCTTAGTAGAATATCATTTTAACTTGCTCCTTTGTAGATTGATTTTGCATTTGATGATGCTGATATTATAGAAGAAGGAACACTTATATCTGTCATTGGGCGAACAAGAAATGAGGGAGAGGAGTCCATAATCCAAGAGAAGGTCAATCACGATACTGTTGCCTGTCCTGTTTACATGAACTGTTAGAACTCAAGCAATAGCATGGCAAATTTCTCAACCCATGAAAAAATGAGTCTGCAATATTGTAATTTTTTTTTCACGACCATCCAAGTTGCATAATTTGATATGTTAAACCTATGTTTATTAATATGAAGCACTTACTGGAAAATTTTCTTTTTCTTTTCCCCTGCAGTCTATACTAAACGCAGCCAATAAGCTTGTGTTCATGATCACAGAAAACCAGTACAAAAGTGGTCCGGATGGTTCTATTCCAGTTTTAGTGAATTCTGTAAGAAGCGATATTCATTGCTTGTTTTAATTAAGTTAACCATCAAGTTCCATAGTAAGAGAAAGGTTGTCTGAACACCCAAATTAAATTTCAGCTCAACTGGATGCAAGCTGCTGAAGAGATTGATGACCTTTTTTTAGGTGATGCAGAGGTCTGCTTTCTCGTCATACCATTAAGTAGTTCTTTTGTTTGCATTCCTCATCAATTATATGTTAGTTTATCATACGAAAGCAAGAACATCTCATTGTTTTCTCTCAGTGAAAAAGTGATTGCATCTTTTTGTTTGTTTAATATGAAAGAAGCAAACAAAACTTAACAATTAAAAATTGTTAATAAGAAAGAAGGAGCTAGTACATAAACTAACCTGTATTACTGATTCAGTCGTCTTTCCTTATGATATTTTCCCTTTGTCACTTCTGAAGGTATGGAGGAGACCATCAATTGGGATCGCGGGTCCTAAGGGGGGTGACTTCCCACTAGTCACCAAAGAAGGCCATAATGTTCTTGATGTCATATTTACATCTCCAATACTAAGCCTCAGTAGGTCTTACAATCTCCATCATTTCTTGTTTTAATATATGCTTCCACACTTGAAAATAAGTTTTCATGTCTTCGTGAATTTAAATTGTAGATGAAGTATCGAAGAGCCTTGATGAAGTTGATGGGGTCATAGACCATGGAATCATTTCCAAGTTCCCGTTAAGTTTTTTGTTCCCTTGTAAACTCTTTTATGCTTTTACAGATATGCTACTACATATTGCTTTATATATAAAGTTTATAAACCAGGGAGTATCTTTTACAAGAAGAAGCACAGTGCTTGTAATTGGTTAGGTCTTGGTGATGGTTCTGATAATAGATGATTTAGGCAATTCTAATTAACTGTTTCTGGAGATTGAGAGTTTTGGGAGAAGGTA